TTATCAGGGGGGGGGGGGGGGGGGGGTCACGTGAATGTATATATTATTTTATGGGGTCGCGGTATCATGAAGCTTGAGAGCCCCTGATATAATCCAAAATGTACCTGGTCAGTTCCATGGCAGGACTGTCCCTGTCCTCTTGGCCAGGGCTGGATCTAGACTCTCGTGGCTTCTTCTGAGCTGGATGTGGCAGTGGTCGCAGAAGTTAATGCAGCTGTCACTCACCCCACCACCGACATGGATTGCCAGTAGGGCTCTGTGCCCCAGAGTTTGGTGGCATGTCCTGACTCCAAATTCCTGGCCCCTCTATGATCTTCACAGGCCACTAGACATGCCACTGTGAGCCAGGGTCAGCCCACAGGCCGTAAGTGCGATAGCCCTGTGGAGTGTTTATATGCATTTTAATAACCTTTCATTGCTCACTTATTCCAGGTTGGATGTTAAAGGCAGAGAAGCTTTCAGAGCCAGCAGATATTCTAGCTGCAACAAACAGTTTCACAAGCTAGACACCACCTCTCCTGAACTTTTCTGAGAGGAGACAGAACCTTCCCCACATCCCCCAGTCAGATTCAGGATCCGTGTTTCCCTTGCCTGTGGCAGCAAAAGGTATCATGTTGCCCATTACTTGTAATTTAGCTTCTTCACACAGAGTTTACAGCATTTGAATGACTTGTTATTACTCCATGGCTCTGTGCAGAAAGGTAACTTAAATTCTGTGTCAATAATGGTTAATTTGCTTCTAGTGGAGAAGACCCCTATAGCATGTAACGACTGCGTCTTCTCATGCTGTTCAGATATCAGCAAGACTGGATTATGTGCAACATCATTGCTCTGTCCATGGTTAATGCTGGCAATTTCAGTAAGCTGTGGGAGCCATTGTCTTTCCCATTGTTGAATGGGGGTAGGGGTTGAATCCATAGGAAACAGGACGTTTGGGACCAGTTAGAATAGTTCTGCGGTGACCGGGTAAGCAACAATAACATTAATAACTGAATGATTGCTGTTCAAAGTCTTTTCATTTGGGCTGTAAAGGGACACTGCCAATGTCAAAATCATGCTGCTGTCTGACATGTGGTGCATACGGTTTATACACTTAATACTTCTGATCCCTATAAACGAAAAGCATTAGAGAAGGGAGGGGGTTTTTTTTAAATGTTTTTCAGGTTTATTTACTTTACATATAACCAGTTTCACCGTTTTGCTTGTATAGTCAGCTTGCCTGTTTCTTTATTTTGTGTGCTTTTCACACAAGTAGCTGGAGAGAAGAACATTTTTTAAATAATAAAAATATTACAACCTCAAAAACTAGCAGGGGACTCGAGCAGGTTTGCTAACCAAAGCTATATTTTAATTTACTTTTAAACTGTTGACTAGATTATAAGATAGAGATGGGAGAGTGGTCTGTTTAAAAAGTCATTTGTTAGGTTGAGGTTTAGTGAGACAAAGCTAGAAAGGCAAGGGATCGCAAAGGATGTGGGTCAAAACCAACTCCCAGCTCCTGGAGTCAAGTCCAGTTAGTCGTTATGTAGGGTCTGAGCCATGGTCCAATGCAGTTTAATAAAAAGAAAAAAATTAAAAACTACAGTGAACTTGTGGCCTTAATTGACTGGAGGCCCAATCCAAAGCTCAAATTTGTAGCTGAAGTAATTTCTTTCTTCTTTCACTTGGTTACTGGTCCCACTGACTTCAAGACCAGTTGCTGGACTGAAAGGGAAGTGAGTTTGGACAGCTGTCACCTTGATCAACGTGGAAGAGACTTTTATCCTCTGTGGATGAAGCACAAAGGGGGGCCAGCGACAGCACGCTGACCAGCAGGCATTATCGAATTAATGGAAATTAATGGGAACTTATTTGATGTTGAAGAATAGCAGGATTTGGATAGTCACATACATTTTGTTCCAAGTCTGCCTTCAGTTACACTGTAGGTATTCCCATATCAGTCAGCTAGCGCTTACTAGCTCAGCTGAAGAAAGAATTGGACCTTCACTCTTTTACACTTTGAGCCATTAAAGAGGGCTCTGTAAACAAAGATATAGTTATTTCTCTTATTTACAATTCACTTGGGGTCCCTTGGAAAAGGAGCATTTTTTTGTCATTAGCCTATCAGGCGAAAAAACCTGAACCAAATTGTAAAATAAACAGTAAGGATGTGTGCAGGCATTTGACTGGGGGAAATTTAAAAAAATAAGAAAAAAAAGAATGCATAATGCAATTGCACTATGAAACTTTTTACCTTGCTCAATTGCTGAAAAAGGTATGTGGCTAACAGCTCAGTTGTTTGAAAATGGATAAGGCTAAATTACCCAATTTTACAACACTATGAAAGTAATTTTGGGTTTTCGGTCCGTTTTTTTCCCCTCTCCCACTCTCCTTTTCCCCCGTTGAAACTGACAAAGGTACGGTGCTGACTTGAGCTATTTCTGCTTTCTCCCTCCCGTTTCCTTTTCATTTCTCTTCTGTGCCTGGAAACAAGAGATTAATTTTGTCTGCCCTACGCTCCGCCTGCATGCCTCTCCCACTTTCAGAGACAGCAGCACTTGGGCTGTGTGTGTGTGAGTGTGTGTGTGTGTGAGAGAGTGAGTGTGTGTGTGTGTGTGTGTGTGTGTGTGTTACTTCAGGGAAAAATAGAAGTAGCCGCCATATGCTTAGGATTTTTTTAATATTTTCCTGAAGTTCTCATTATAAAGAGACTGGACATATATTTCAATGGGAAGTTCTCACTTACTAAACAAGGGCTTGCCTCTAGGTAATGATTTCACTGTCTATTTTGTTCAGTTTTCCTGTTTGAGATTGCTTTAAAGATACATCGATATATGTGTGTACATAAAGGCTTGTTCTGCTGCTTCCCTTCCCATCCCCCTCCTTTCGCTGCCTGCTTGCTTTGTGTGTGAGTGAGAGTGCATTTTTTTTCCTGACTTGTTAGCTAATATATGGTTATTTCTAAATGAGAGGAGCTGATGGCCAGACATCATTATCTTTCAGACAACTTTGCCTAGCAACTGCCGGAATAGAGGGATATTAAACAAATTTAACAGAAGACTTGCTGAAGCAGGGTGAAGGGACCTGAACTTGACTGCTACTCTAGTTCATTCTTTCTCCAAAAAAAAAAAAAAAAAAGAGAAACGTCTGCAAGTAAAATAGCTTTAAATCTATATCCAGAATTTTAACTCTTCAAAAAAAAAAAAAAAAATCTATGTCTATGTGGTTGGATTTAGCCATGCCCCAGCTTTTAACTGCAGTAAAACGCAGGTAAAATGCCTTGAAGGAAAAAAAGAAAAAAAAGAAAAAAAACAAAAGCAACCCTCGTACTAATATTTCAATAAACAGGAAGTCTAAAAGCGGCATTTTATTGCTGTTAAAAGTGCTTAAGGCCTGGCTTTTGAAATGATTTTGCTAAATCTGTGGACAGGTTATTTATTTGAAAGGTAAGGCTTTTCTCCAGAAATCTGAATTTCTTTCTTTCTTTCTTTTTTTTTTTTTAATGTGCTAGCAAATGCGTTTATGGATTGCTGCTGTTGTTTAAGGTAAAGACAGATAACCTGCATGGGATGATTTTACAGTATGTGGATAAATTGCTTGCTTAAAATTCTTGTGTTAATCTGATGACTATTATGTGCTCCTTAAGGAACCGACAACAGCAAAATGTAGTCTAACAACAAGTTATATTCCGAGAGAAAGCAATAGAGCTGCATATAATAACTTTAGTTGCTGTGTATATTTGATGCAATATTTGTGTGTCTGTTTTTTTTTCAAATATTTGAAAATCAGATGCCTGCTTCTCTATTTCTAATAGGGATTCAGACTGTGTCTTTAGACTATATGGTTACCAGTAATACTTTTTAAAATTTCACCTGTTGTGGCTTAAAATAATTTGACTTAGTATTTTAATAATAGCAGAGTGTTTGCTATCTAGTCCATGGTAGAGCAGCTACAAGAAAATCATCCTTTCAGCCTCATTTAAAAAAAATGAGGCCTGATGGGTTAATAGTGAATGTCTAGTTTTTCAGTGCATTAAAACAAATTATAATATTTGGGTTGTTGATGGGTGATTTTAATGCATCACAGAGATTCCTTTTCTCGAGTCTAGAAAACATAAGCAAATTTATTTAGCAGGCTGGTTGGTCCTTTGCAAGCTGTTCGGTATATCTGTTACAATATTTTTGATCTCATCATCATATTTCTGTAGAAAAAGAAAAAGGAGACTTTAATAAGAACAAAACCCATATTTCAGTCACGATTGCTTAGCTAGAAATCCCTCTAATTAATTGGCTGTAGTCAATATGCCAGCTTATTTAGTAAATAATAATGAAGTGAAAAAGCTAATTACTCAGAAAGTTGTGCTAACAGAGGGAAAATAATTTTCAGGGTGTATCTGCATGTGGTTTAATTTTCTCCTCGTGTTTGGCATATATGTGCATTAGTGTAAACCTTTTTGTAGCTGCTGGATAAAATTAGCAGCACAAATTAACTTTGGTGATTTCAATATTAATGCTCTTTATTGATCTCCCCTGTTCTCCTCCCCCCCCCCCAAGCAAAATTACAACAGTGGATTTCCTTGATCTCTATTTAAAAAATATTAGCTAAATATAATATAATGTATTGTCTGAAAGGACACTAAGCAACAAAATCTCTTGCCTCTTTACTATCAATTCCTCATAAGAACAGATTGTCTTAGTTTTTCAGTCTAAATATTGAACTTACATTACACAGTAACAAAATCCATTTCGAAATAAATCCATGGGGCTAAATCATTCTTTCATTTATACTGGTGTCAATCTGAAGTAACTGCAGTAAAGTTAATGGAGTTATTTTGCATTAACACTGGTGGAACAGAGCTCAGTTTAGCCCAGTGGAAGTGGTCTGTTGTGTCTTTTTCCTTTGCTTTATAGATTTGTTTAAAATCTAGTATTGTTATGTATGGATGAGAAAAGACTATGTGGAGTCTGAGAGCCGTTCATGGTCCTAAATACCAGATATGCTACAATATGTGGGCGTAATATTGAATTAAGGTAATGTGATAAAGCAAATGAAAAATGTATTACACTTTTTAGTTCAGTTCATTCTTCCTTTCTCTTTTTTAAGTATACTCTTTAGTGGTGAAGAGAGACATTGTATCTGTCCCCTGTTCAAAATTCTTGATGCATTTATTTATTAATATCTTTATTGCTAAGAGTTTTAATTTTATTTACAATGTGAACACAGCCATCACAGCACTTAGTTCAAAATCTCATTAAAGAGATTAGAACTTGGACTGGACATGATAATATATTACCATACAGCTACTGAACTGTGCACTGTAGCTTTTTGAAGCCTAGTGTCAACCCGTCTCTGTCAAATAACATCTAAAGCAATTAGATAATTAGGCAAGATTGTACCCTTTGAGAGAACTTTGACATTTTCCTAAAATGTGCATTTGTATGGCTGTTAAAGATGTGAAATATGCAGGGTATTTTGAGCGACTGATAAGTGCATGGGAAGACATCAACTTCACTTGTATCAAAGTAAAAGCACAGAAGGATTGATGTGCTACTTTTATTTACTGCTGTGAAAAAAACAATATTACATGTGCATTTAAAGCCACCCAGATCTGGGCTCCTGGTCTTGGTTGCCATTTTGCCTTTCCTTCCCCAATGTTAATTTGTAATAGTAGCATTTCTTTAAGGCAACCAGGGTAGATTGGAGGCTGGCCACTTGTGAGTTGGATTCAAAAGCAATATTTAGTCTCTGGCTTCTCAGGCCAGCTGGAGCATTGATGAGGTGATACTCTTCAGCAAGTGTCAGGCTCTCAAATCCCATGGCAGCTGGCAGTAGTAGCAACATTTCAGTCTCATCTGAGGCTACCTAACCTTCTGGCCCCTGTAATTATTTATTTAATGAGAGAGTAGGGATGGAGTTGCACAGTGTAAAAGTGTCCTTAAAATTTAAGGTGAGGATAAAAATTATAGTACCGCAGACCTTTGCCCTTAGGCTCCCTGCATTCCCCACACTCAAAGTGTTTACTAGCTAATTCCAGCCTGCAGAAATGAAGGTCCTGCTGCATGTGCATTGTGTCGCTATGTTCATGATTTCCTTCCTCCCCCACCACCTTAAAAACAAAGATGGCGATTCAGTCTGTCTTTTTAGTCCCCCTGGGAAAAATGTAGCAGACGTTCTTTTCATGTCATTCTAAAACAAACCTACTTATATTGCCAAAAGGCAAAAATATATATATAACTGCATCCTCCTAACAAGATTAGAAACTCAAGGCAGCATTAAGGCACTGCAGACCTTTTGGTGGTGTAAGAGGTATATTTTCAGATGCGTTTATTTTCATTACAAAATAGTCTCATCCCGTCTTTCAGAGCGGCTCGTGTGCTAGGTGTGCCGAAGGAGCACATGCGTGTCTGCTGGCGTGTACTGATGCGCACTGTGATGCGGGCAGCATCCGATGGAGCAAAGCGTAAGGAAGGCTCTGACTTCGCGCAAGTTGGCAGCCAAAGCTTGCTGTGGCTGAGCCTATAGGTTGAACACTTTGCTTGGCATGTATTAAACGTTTGGGGCAATAGTCTTTGGATAGTCCTGTCCCATGCTTTGGCTGGTGAAGGAAACAGAGGTGCAAAGGCTTTCAACCACCCTTGACCCTCCTAATTCTAGTTCTGGCCGTAGACCTGCCCCCAACCCTGGTACAACTTGAAACAGCCCAGGGCTCTTCTAATTTGTGACTGTCCTCACAAATTATCTGGAGGGCAGTCTGCTTTGGCTCATCCCTGCCTGCTCCGTAATTCGGGGCCGAGGCAGGAAATGACAGACAGCTGTTAAATTAGCCTCAGCAGAAAGAACGCTCCAGCTTTTGTGCTGCCAGAGGAGTATATAGGGGCCCAAATCAAGGCTTTTGTCTCAGTGTGGGGAAGTCGTTGTGACAGTAGGCAGCAGCAGCACTTAAAAGAGAAATTGCTTCTCGTGGGCAGAAATATGAGGAACTTCAGATAATTCAATGGAATCACTTTGAAAAAACAGCACCTCTAAGTTTTCTTTCAAGAGATAGAGCGTCTGTTCAATGAACAGGTGAACTGCTTTTGACGTGTGACGTGTAGAATACACTTGCGTCGGCTATCCTAGAGCAGTCACTTAATTTTCAAGACGAAAATGTAGAAATTAGCTTGTCATCCCCCGTGTGACACAGTTTTAGTATCTTATCTTAAACTATCATCACTTTATTTTTAGTGTCTTATTCTTATTTAGTGTCTTATACCATTTGCTAATGAGCCAGTTTGTGTCTGTTAGATATAATTAGTTTGTCTGATTTTTGTGTAGTGCAGAGACTTATCAGGGAAAACCCTGATAATATAAGGATACTCAATCAAGTCGAGGGAAAACGTAGAAATTGCTCCTTTCTTCTTTTCTGATTCCTCTATTCCCCGCACTCCTTTGCTCACACCTCTGCTGCACTTGGCTAGGCGAATGATTACTCTGATGTCAGGCATCAAGGGCAGAGGACTATAAAATGGTTGCATTACTATGGCTGTTTGAAATAGGGGCAATTAAATGTTTGGGTACTTATGGTCTAAATTATTCTTGGAATACAATGAGATTATCAGAGTTTGTGTAAATCCATGTTTGATTTTCTGCAAAAAAACCCCTACATGTCACAAATTGCTACATCATTTTCCTTGTTTTTATTTATTTGGTGGAAGGGTCCTCTGTGTGCCTCTACGTGTTCGACTCTTCATCCTTCTCTTATTAAAAAATTCTAGCTTTTGGGGGGATCCCCCTCTAGTGTACTTGCAAGTATAGTTTCTTTAGTCAGCCAGAAAGAGCAGCCTGGAAAATAGCACAAGAAATTCTCTTAAATTTCTTGACTGTGAGCACTGACATTTACAGTGGTTTCAGACTTGGTTGTTCTCAAAGGAAACTTTTATTTCTGTAATACATTTAGGCTTGTTTGTGTTTTACCGTTTAAAATCAGGTAACATTGGCCTTTTAATTTTACTTCTGCTTAGATATTTTGTGGCTTGAGTCATATATTCTGTTAAAACAGTTATATTCACAGGTCAGTGGGTGTCTGTTGTCAGTGCCTAAATCATTTTCAGCTTGTTACATCACCGCTAGGAGAGTTATATAAATCTGGAATCGAAGTTGTTCATGCTTCCTGACTGTATGTCTGAAAATTCATTGCAATAGTCACTTTTTATTCTCTCCTCTTTTTTTTCTTTTTTTTTTTTGTGTGGGGTAGATGTGGGGGGGGGGATGTCAAAATATGATGAGGGAGAAATAAAATTCCTTGCTTGCCTGAGTCATAAGTCCACATTCCTGTTCACAATCCAAACTTCTCACTGTAGGAGATACAGTAACAGTCTTCCTAAAAAGCCCTAATATGTCTTTAAAGATTGAAATGTAATGCATTTGAGCAGAGCCCTGTGATGGAAAGGGAGCACATCTTCAAAGC